GGGAAAGAGAATAGTTAAAGGCAAAAAAGGGTAATTCTTCAAAAAAGCAATTTGGGTGCAGTCCGCTCCATTCCTACAAGCCCCGGGAGCGTAAGGCAAGCAGCTAGCAAAGTGAAAATTACCCTCAGTCTGGAGCCAGCAAGAGAGGCTGCCATATGAGGCTGGAATGGCAGCTGTTGTCTCTCAGGAGCAGCTGTGCAAGCTGGTGAGCTTTTCAGGAGCCATATAAAAATGAACCCTGAACCCTCTGATTTGTTCTGTCTCTATTCTGCAAATGTGTTTAATGTGGCTTAAGATGGTAACAGGGGTATAGCTGCACCACTTTTGATGCAGCACCTAGACCTCAGCAAATGTCTGCTTTAAACCTGTTTTAGGGCTGTGAACAGCCACATTAAGTGAGTCATTGCAACAGCTGTTCAAGTGGTATGTACATGCTGCATTGTTATCTCTGATTAAAGTGCTTTTGCCTTGCATCTTTGGGACCGTACTTTAAATATGGTTGTGTTGCAAGCACTCAACATCCTGAGCATATGGTGCAATGCTTTGCCACTGTGCTGCATGCATTCTTGGATTTTTTTCTGCACTATTAATTGTGGGTTGCTTTCTGAAACTTAATGTGATCTAGGGCTTAGAGTGAAATTAAGAACGTGTTATGATTTTTCTCCCATCATCCCCTCATTCTGGTTTCTGCGAGCTGATCAGTACCATTTTGAAATCGCTGTCAGGCAACATGAAGGAAACATTGCGAAGTTCTATAATTCTCATGATGCTGACTATAAACAGGCTTTCTAGAGTTCTGAAGGGCTTGGTTCCCTAGTATGAATAAAGATTCACTAATATAAATACGTCATGGTTTGGGAGGGTACATGACACCAGGATCCTTAAACTCCAAGCTCTTTTCTGCAATGACATGTGAAAGTTCTAAGCATATGACCTATACGGACACTAATGACATTACCATTCCTTCACTTGTTCCAAAAGCCCAACTTATTTTCTGCTTTGTTGATTTACAAAGCTTTTGACTGGACCTTTAGTTAGAAGAAAGGAGCTGTTTAATTATACCCTAAGTAGCTGCAAAATGATGTAGCTAGCCATGTTGGTCTGAAATCAAGCACAATGACAATGGAATGTACATTTGGAAGACTGAAAGGTTGATGGATTTAGCCTAATATTGAAGCTGGACTAATATTAAAGCTAAACCTGATGAGAAATATCTGCCTTGGATGATAGCAGTTTGATAGTTCTTTGTGAGAGCAAGAGAAAAAGTATTGTACATGAATGGAAGCAGGAGGTTGGCAGATTTCCTAAACAACCAAAGATGAGACCTCTATGAAGTGCTGCAACTATTTGGGTGTATAGAGTTGAGTTCATCAGGCTCATACTTTAGACTCTAAGGGCTGCTTATGAGAGATATGTAAGATATTGTATACAGCATTAATTAAGATTACTACATTTTTTTGGTGGGGAGAGGAAGTTGACTGCACATCCGTTTCCTTTGCTCTGTGCCATGGTAAGTGAAAACTAAATCATAGTAATTTATCAGTTGTTCCATTTGGGGTTAAACTGCCACAGTTTTGCTTCCATTTACATCAGGTACATGAAATGGTTACTGTGGACCAGCTGGGGTGTAATTTGTTCATCTATTCATAATTTGCTTCTGTCCTTGCCTTGACAAGGTTTTGGAACTCCATACTCACTGGAAATGCAAACTACCTGTTTGCATTCTAGTGTTTGAACAGGGAGATTAGAGTTGATCAGGATAACCTTGGAGCATTGGAGAATCACAGGTATATAGACAGGTTCACCCTGTTAGCCTGCAAAGCAATGTGGGGTTCCAATGGCAGGACTTGGCAAATGTGCATCAGTTATTTGGGATCATACATCCATACCTGTTTTGTTGTCAGTAAATTTATCCCATGTCTCATCAAACCTGCTTCCAAAGTAGGTTTGTTAACACATGTTAAAAAGCCAGAGGATTTGCAGCAAATGCTTTGTTGCAAACAATCTCTTTAATACTATCATTAAATCTGAGACAAATTTAAATTGTAGAGAAACTTTAACCACCTGTACCAGTTTATGAAAGGTCATCCTGTAGGCATGCATATGTAGTCTACATCAAATAGATGCATAGGCCCTATTGGGCATTAAGTGTCTTAAGAGCCTAGTGAGTGGATTCTTGCAATCTTCACATTTTTCTGGGACATGTGGGCCTGTCATAGGAGGGTGGTTAAAATGGTAATTAAGTCAGATAATATATCCAAGCATCCAAGGTAAAATTTTAATTCTGTAGAAGTGTACAATGGAGGATGCTAAAGTTTAATAGAAAAATAAGATAGAGGCTGTAAAAATAAATGGCAGATCATTCAACTAGAAAAATATATCAAATATGCAAGAAGAAGTGGTAAATGGGAGGAATAATATGAAGGTGAAAGAGATAAATGTGATAATTGGGTAATTGAAGGATTATATAAGGAAGACATGATGGATGATTCTTACTTCATTCTTTGATGAAAGCTTCTGGGTTGGTGTGGTAGGTATGAGTTTGAAACTATGTATGAACTTATTTTTAATCGCATATCTTAGTAATTTAAGAAGTGGTTCTCATATTTTTCTGATCTATGTAACCAAATGGCAGGTGCTATTGTGTGGATTATGTCACTCTATATCAGATTTAAAAGGACAAGGGAATTGTTATAATAAAACAGCTGTTGTTATGGAATGACTAGAAGTAGATTATACTATGTATTTAAAAGCTTTTATTCTTCAATTAATTATTTTGCCTGTGGCCCTAGTTCATTACTGTTGTACTTGGTTTTATCTATTCTAGCAAACTTTAGTCTGTTAATCCTTTTTTCTGTCCCAGGGGAAAAAAATCTAATATATAAGGCATGAAGGGGTTTTTCTCAGAGCTAGCTGAGAGATTCTATTTTTCTGAGATGTGAAGCTTGTAGAGAGCAAAAATACTCTTTGCTTAACTTAAGAAATGGGCCACTTTATTGTGATGGTTTGTACAACCTTTTAAGAGGATTTTCAAGCATTTAATATATGAAGCGTATAGTAATAGGGGCTTACTTCTAGGGTAGACCACAGCATAGGGTGGTGCATGAGGGAGCCAGTGCCTCCCCTGACGGCTGACACTGACATTGTTGGCAGGGCTAGTGCCCCCCACCCCTGACAGGGCCATCACCATTGGCAGCTTCTGTGGGTGCCCCCCCCAGATTCAGGAGGCACCAGTCACTCATGGACCACAATATTTGTAGTGGCTGTAGGTCAGCACTTAAAAAAGTTTCTTGAAGACTACTTAAAGCAAGTTTATAAATTCTAATCTTGGAAACCCAGTGTAATTTTGATATAGAAACTAGCTTGTGGTCTCAGCTCCAGGGAAAAATGTATAACCTGTCTTCAAAGTCTGACCTCCACTATAGCAGCATTAATTGTAATCTAACAACCTCTTTAGAAATTTATAATTAGAAATATTTTTTCTTATAGTCTGACTCTAAATCTATTGAAAATTTCAGTAGTTCAGTAAGTTCTGGAGAACAGTATATTTTGATTTAAACTTACATCAGTAAAAATAAATACAATATAAAAACTTCCCTTCACAGATGTAATTCCAAGACACTTCTTTCCTGGTATGATTATTGACTAATGGAGTTCCTTTTTAACCTGCTTTTAGGAACCATCTTTCAAGTAGAAGTGGCCTTTTGGACCCAGTGTTGCTCTGATATGACGTCTTGTTAGCTTTTTGGTTTTGTCTCAACTGACTTGCATAGGAAACCCACTGGACGATACAATGGCTGAATTTTTTATTTGTTTCAACTGGTGCAGTAGTGAAGAGCCCCAACCAGTAAGTAGAATGATGAACCTGATCTTGAATTGGATTTGATTTGCCAAAGGAGCAAACTTCTTGTCCTTGTATGGCCTTAAGCTTTGTGACTAGCTACACTAGAGAAGGTGACAATTAAGTGATAGTGAAACTTTTGTTGTGCAAGAGAAGTTCTAACAGAACATTAAATGTGAATTTAGTTGTCTAACTCCCTCTAATGTCTTAAGCAGAAATTATTTTGGTGCTGAAATTTCTCTCTGAAGGAGAGGAAGGAATCTAGTTGGTGAAACAGGACATGGGTATATTACCCAAGTAATATACAATAGGAGAGAAGAAAGAAACAGGTTTTTCAGGGAAGGGATCACTTATTGTTAATATAATTAGCTCTTGCTATAGTTTGAAGCTTTGTTCCTTAGAATGTCTAGGAGTTAATACAGTACTCTATTTTGGGAAGGGTTTACTTTTTATATTATAGTAAACTCTGCACCAGCATTTAGACATGGGAAAACAACTGTGCAATTCTTGTCATGTCTCTGTCTTTAATTAGTTCTAGCTTGTGTGTACTTAAAGGAGTCACAAAGTTTCAACAGCTGATTAAACTGAAGACCAATACACTGGGCTTTCAGCTTTATAGTTAAGCCTGTAAACTTAGTGTGAGCCTATTCAAGCTGGGTTTTCTGTTGTTGTTAGACACTCTGCAGGCCAAATTTTGCCTACGGTGAATGGCTGAACCTACATGGCTTTCAATAGATTTTGAAACTGCAATTATACTTCTTCTGGGAGGACGGGAGACTAGGATTGGTTCACCTTTTATGCAGAGCTAAAAACGATACGTGTTGCAGAGTCTTGGGGGGGAGTGGGTTTGAGGGTGGCAGTGAACTTGTCATTAGAGCCAACACTTTGAATGCAGTGTCTGTGCTTTCAGACTCTCAATGACTCAAATGGGATTCCCCAGTCAGACCCAGTTCTAGACTGGAAGGGCTTGGCCAACAAACTGAACTAGGGAATGATCGCAAGGATTGGTTTTAAGTAAGAAGGTGCCATCTGTTCTTCAGAACTATACTCCAAATATTAGGGTGAACTAGTAGTTGCTAACCTGTATGATCTAAACTTGACTCTAACACTAAATTGCTGAGAAACTTCCCTTTGAGATGTGGCTGCTGCATATAGGTTAGCAGTGGTTGCAATATTTAAAATATTGGTGAAGTTCTCCTCTGGTTTTGTCATATTTGATGTTATCAAATTCTCTAAATGTAGTATTCTATTCACTTGGCCCATGAGTTGGAGTACAAATGTAGCCCATTTTATTCTTCTCTTACTATCATTGTCTTCGTTCTTGACACTTGCCAGAATTTTTGCTGATGTTAAAAGCACTTGGCATATACTGAGCTTCTGTAGTATATAAAGCTACAAGAATGAGATTATTGGCATACCTTATTCAAATATTTATCTATTATCCTGGGTGTCCTGTTTGGAATATTCCAAACTCTCTAACTTATTTGCATGCATTGGTACACGTTTCTAAAAACTGCAATGTTAAGCTGTTTCCCGTTTCATTCATAATTGTTTTACTTTTTGCCCCAACTACATGTTGTATGCAGGGTGTGGTGCATTTGTTTAACTTAAGACTCCTCCTCACCTGCAAAAACAAAATATTCCTGACATTCTGATTCCCTGCATTGGCTTGTGCAGGAAAACAATTTTTAGGAGGCCAGGCCATCCTTTGGTGGCTTATCCATTATCCTGTAGTAACTATGGATTGTTTACCATAAGTGGCTTGTCTTGAGTCATTGTGTCCATCCTTCCTTATTTTTCTCACATTTATTGTTAAAGTTAATATATTTATGCTGTAAATATTGTATAAACCTGTTCCTTAGTACTGGGTGAAAGGCAAATGGAAGTATGACAGAAACCATGTGGGAGTGTCTGTCCCCATGAGTAGATCTAGTATTTGAAAAAGGGGGTGCAGATGAGCCCATATAACACACTTTCTCCAGTTAAGAAATAAGATGCTTTACTAATAGGCTTGGGGCCTAGGGCTATATTTATTTTATTTTAAAATTGAAGCAAAAGCAAGTGCAACTTTATTGGAACATGTGCCTGCCTGCCTATCTCTCTCGCTCGCCAAAATAAGTAAAAGATACTGTTTCATTAATCTTGTAGCCATTAAAGTTTAAGTGTACAGCTTTCAGATTCATAAAACAGCCTAGCCTTCCTGAGCACCTTAGCAATGCATCCAGTGCTGCACTGAACACTATTTCCACACCTCAGTTAGTGTTTCTAGCTAGAGTTAAAAACAGTCTGCAGGGCTTTGAAATAGGAGCTACATTACCAGGAGCAGCTAACAAACGGCAGAGTTGCTGAAAAAGCATAGTGTGATTAGTGGAACATCAAGACCATTAAAAGAGTTAGAGGGTTGTTAACACTTGTGGAAAGAAGTGTTGAGAAGGAATGGGTAAATTTATAATGAGCCATAAAGACAATTGAGTCTCTCCCTGCTGCCTGAATACAAATGCTGCTGCTAGGCAGCTGGTTTAAAATTTCGGGTGGACCAGGAATCAAAACGGGTTGTTAACTGTACCACTGCACCTCACTCCCCACCTGAATCTGCCCCTGTCTATCCCTATAGGTCTTTTTCCAACTGTGGTCTTTGTTTTACTTAACATAAAAGCAGCTTTCTTGCGTTAAAAAGAACCTTTAATTATTGTGGTCAAATCAATTCATGACAAACGGTAGCTAATGCTTTTGAGTGACTTAGTTCAGAGCAGGATGTACCATGTTCTGTTGTCACCAGGAGTCCCTAAAATGGCAGTATTGAGTTGAGGATGGGTCCTTTTTATTTGACTAGGTTCTAGTTACCAGACAAATCCTTGTTTAGTTTTTACTAGGCCTTTGTGAGTTGGCAGCAATCGGATCCGGCTTCGGATCCAACCACTTCTGATGGCCGTGATCCGATCCGGAGTTCCGGACTGGGTTTCCACCTTGATCCGGCCGAAGCGGCTCTAAAGTTTCAGAGTCGCCTTGGAGATCCGGCCATAGGGTATAATGGGGAATCAATGAAATATCTTGATTTCAAAGTCAATATAACTTTTGGTTTGTTTTTCTTTTTTTGTTCAATTTGGATGAAACTTGCAGGAATGGTAGCCTCTGCTGAGAGCATGAAATCGGCCAAGTTTCAAGAAGATCAGTGCAGGGGTTTCCGAGGAACTGTACCCCAAATTCTTGAAAGCCAAACTTCTGTCATGTGTCTGTTACAATGCGGCAGGGGTGATGGGTGAAAACTGCAGAGGTGGTAGCTCTTACTGAGGCCACAAAGCCTGCCAAGTTTCAAGGAGATCGGCACAGGAGTTTGGGGGGAACTGCCCCTCAAGCTGCGGGCAAGCAAAACTCATGCCATGGGTGACACTGCGTGTGTTCAGGCGCAGCGGGGTGACAGCTGCAGGGATGGTGGCCCCTGCTGTGATGCCTGCCAGCTGTGGAGGAGATCAGTGCAGGGGGGTCTGGGGCCCTGCACGCCTAGCTGCTGACTGACACAACTTGTGCCAAGACTGTGTCTGTCTTGGGGCACTTGATTGTCTGTATTGAGTCTTTCCCCTCCTTAGCCTGGTTTTGTAGGTGCTGATTGATGCTCGTTAAGTTATTATATAGTAGCTAGGTCCTGTGTATTGAGCTAGGCCCTGGTCCCTGAGTGAATCATGATTGGTTGGTTGGTAACTGGTAACACAGCAGCTTAGCAGCCAGGCCTGCAGCAGTCTCCCCTCCCCCCGCCCCAAGACAGACACGGTCAGTCCCACAAGCACCCATGGCACGAGTTTTGCTTGTCCGCAGCTTGAGGGGCAGTTCCCCCCCAAACCCCTGCACCGATCTTCTTGAAACTTGGCAGGCTTTGTGGCCTCAATAAGAGCTACTAGCCCTGCAGTTTTTACTCCCTCCCCCCCCTCCCCCCGTGTTGTAACAAGTAAATGTGACAGGAGTTTTGCTTTCAAGAATTTGGGGTGCTGTTACCCCCAAGCCCCTACACCGATCTTCTTGAAACTTGGCAGGCTTCATCCTCTCTGCAGAGTCTACCACTCCTGAAAAGGTCATCCAAATCGAACAAAAAACAACAAAGTTATAGATATTTTATTGTTTTCCCCAATATACCTTATGGCCGGATCCCTGAGGCAGTTCCGAGGCTCTTCGGGAAGCCGAATGAGGCAAGTGCTTTGACCCGGATATGCTGATTCGGACCCCAAAACTTCTCCGGATCCGAAGCTCTGTCCGAAGCCTTGCACAGCCCTAGTTTTTTACATTTGAAAAAACAAAACAAAAAAAACAAAACCTTTTTTCTGGATAAGAATCTACTATTGTTTCTCTTCTGATAGAAGAGGCGTCAGAGACTAGATCGGAGTATGATAGGAGAACCAATGAACTTTGTGCACACGGCTCATGTTGGAACAAGAGAAATGATTAATGGCTTAGCATCTGTAAGTATGTGATAACTGAGATATGTGGACCTTCTGCTTTCTGTGTGTGTGTGTATACACAAAAGATTTGTCTTGATTTTTAATTTCAAGATAGTATAGCACTTTCATCCAAAGTGCCAGACAAATACCTTAGTCTATTTGTTCTAAGCATATAGTTAGATAGTTTAGGGGTTGCATCAAGGCACACCTCGAGATTTTCCTTTCATCAGTGTAAATTAAGAGTGGCTCTGCTGAAGAAGCTTTTCATGTTTGGAGTTGCTACTGATAGTTGTGAAAAAGCATATAATTTACCTATTGGGTTTAAAGTTAGAAATGTTTTTCCCTGCCTCTTCAGATTAACACCTACCCTTGTTTTGACAATGGGATACTTTGTAAAACATCCTGTTCAAATAATAGGAACTTAATAGAATGCCTTTATTTCTAGGTTGGGTCAGTTCAGGACTATATGAAGTCTAAAGGCGGCTATGCAAATGATAATTCTACAAATGCACAGCTATAGAAAAATTAAAGGAAGGCTGAAGCACCTGTGCTGGTAGGTATACTCTGTTTTATGACAATCTCTTAAATGTTAGTAATAGAATTGGAACAGAGCTTGTCAAAAGGATCTAGGAACTAGTTGTGGGTGAGGGGTAACCTCTTTAATTGTATGAAGGTTAATGCAGGCTTTAGCATTCTTTTTAGTTTTTTATACTAGGATCTTCATATGTAAAACTGTTTCTAAAATTATCTGAAGTGGTGGTGGTACAGTAACACTAACCCTGGGCTAGCCTTGACACTGTGGTCTTTCCAACTAGAAGACCCAAGGAGCTTCTAGTACTTGCTGTACAGGATGAGAATTGTAGATATAAGCTGTTGCCAAGCAAAATAGTGTTAACTTTTTTTCTATTGTTTGTTTTGTTTACAGAAATCCTGAAAATCTGTATTGCTAGAAGGCCTCACTTGTTTGCACTGATATTGCAGGATAAACTCCACTTCCCCAATAGCATGTTATAGTTCTGTACTATTTCTCTAACCTAACTCTTTTGGTGTTTCACAGTCTAGATCACTGGTCTTTGCTGGAACTGTTGGTGTTGATGTCTCATTTTATAGACTAGAATTTGTCTTCCAATATCATTGATTTGCCTGTTTTGAGAGAGGCTAGTGAAGCTTCTGCAGCACTGCAAGGCTTTTATGATGGTTACCTAACTTAAAGCAAGTCCTGGGTAAATGTGGGGGAAAGATGCCTTTCCATCACTTTGCTCACTACTACAGTTTATCACTTCCACAACTACTGGAAAAAGCTGGGTAACATTAGATGGACCTTTGGAATGCTCACAAACTGTATGATAATGCTGCACATATGTATTAAATATACTGTATTTTAAACTTTTAAAAATGGTTTTAGTTCTATTGTTATAGATGCTAACCAGTCATAGGACTTGCCTCGGCCACTACTAATGGAAGCTACACCATACTTCATGCAATAACCTGTCTGTCTGGAAGATACCTGGGAGAGGCATTTGGACCCTGTTGTTGCTCACTTTAAGTGCATTAGAAGTGCTTAATTATGTATTTTTGTTTTGTTGTTTGTTTTTTGTTTTTTTTGTTTTTTTTTAATTAAGTATATGACATGGCTTAAATAAGATTAGATTAGGAAGATTGATATTAACTAATGGAAATTTCTTGATACTCTATCAGTAACTATTTTAAGTATAGTCACTATGTTTATAGTGCTGGCACTGTGTGAGGTGCTTTTGTTTCAGATTAATAATCCTATGGAGGGATACCTGAGTAAAATTACAAGGTTGTCTTTCAGAAGAGAGGAAAACTAAATATGGAAACTTTTTTTTTTTTTTGTATATTACAAGTGTAAATAGATAATTATCTCAATCCAAAACCTTGAGTAGCTGTATAACTCAAAGCCATGACAACTAACTTGCTTAAACATAAGCTGATTATTTTTTTTTTTTTTTTTTTTTTTTATTTTAATCCAAATCTGGACTCTGAATAGGCAAACGGGAAGCTAGTAGAATTCATTCTTTCCTGGGGAAGTGAGATCACGGGCCTCTTGAGTGTGTGTGTGTGTGTGTGTGTGTGTGTGTGTGTGTGTGTGTGGTGGGTTTTTTTTTGTTGTTTTTTTTTTTTATTTTTAGAACTGAAATTGCCTTTCAAAAATAAATCTAACTTTTTGTTTAATGTGACTTGATCATTGCTATGAATCCTTTTCTCCCTTTCTTCCCCCCCCCCCCCTCCCAATTAATTTGGAGAGAGAAAATCTTTTTTTTGTTTTACTTTGCTACAACGTTCCTGCATAGTTCTTGGGCATTAGTGGCACCTATACATGAGCAATGCTGTAATTACAGCATGTCAGAGCAGACTCTATCGAGTGCCCCACACTCCTCCCATTCCCTGACCGTGTGTGTATATGCCCCAGGAGGCCTAAGACGAGGACATGTCCTGTGTGTCTAAACAGGCTCTAAGGGAAACTGTTTATTTCTCTCTGGCAAACTGCTGCAGTAAAAACAGTTATATTCATATTGGAATGAATGTACCATGCACTTACTACACAAAGCAGAACTTTCATAAACACATGTTTGGCAGGTGGTTAGACTTCGTTAGTATATGTACTCTTTTTAAATGGGAAACTCTAAACTTAGCACGTAGCTCTCCTTTTTTTAAAAATCTGTCAGTCTTCTATGTCTGAGATTGCAAGGGTTTTGTACTGACCAACCATTTACCAACTTGGCTGCTACCTATTTTGCATATCCTTAAGCATATATAAAGTGTGGGGGGGGCGTTCTTCAACTTGCTTGACCAGGTTCTAATAGGTTTGTTTGTTTTCAGCCAACCTAATGCTTCCATACCTGTCCTTGCTCAAAACATTAGAGGGCAATCTAATCTGTGGGGGAGTTGTGACCAAAACCCAACAGCATGGGGGGGGGGGGGGGGGGCAGAGGCACTGTTGGGCAGAGGGGCAGACTGAATCCACTTGCTTTCTAGTGAACTACTGAAGCAAAGATTAAATTTTCTGGTAATTGAGAGAAACCTATCTATTTCTTTAATACTAGGAAAAATCAAATTGGGTCTCTAGAAACACTCTTTTTTTCTTCCTTGAAGAATCCTCTTGCTGTAAGACTGTTTACTATATTTATTCCTGGCAGAAGATCATTCAAACCATTATTCCGTAGATGTAACAAGCTGTGTCTACTATTAACCCCATCCCTTTAATTTATAATGTTCTTGTCCTGGGAGCCGGGCCAGAAGTCGGGGTTTGTTAATCAAAAGCGGGATTGGTTGGGCAGGCGCGTGGATGGAGAGGCCGAGACAGCATATTGGTCTCAAGACAAGAAGTTTTTACTTATGCCTTTGGTGATACAGGCGCAGGTGAGGCACACTTGGTTAGTTACAATAACGTAGCAGGTAACATGTCAACTGCAACAGGTGACCGATGACCGGTAACTAGTAACGCAGCACAACGAGTCGAGCATGCAACAGGAATGGGGTACGTCGGGTAATTCGGCGACAGGGAGATGTTGGATGGCCAGTCCACTAGCGAGCCCCTGAGGTGATCCCTGAGTATGCTCAGAGAGCTCCTAGGTGTTGTCAGGGCACTCCACCTTGGGCGGAAACTGTTTAACCCTTTATATGGCTAGCGAGCCAATAGCTAACCATCTACCTTGCATAATTTACATACAGCCAATGATGTTGCATGTATCTGCATAACAGGGTGGGAACTCTTCCCTGCAATACAGTGTTTTTCCGCCGAGACCTAGCATTTACCTGCTAGACTCAAACATACTAGAATTTTCCACAGAGGTGCCGGATAGATGACATAGGGTACGCCCATATTAGGTGGCCAAGACAGTAGGGGGGGGTAAAACTGCTTGCTCGGCCCATTGTGACAGGAGCATTTAACCCTGTCAGGGACTTATTTATGACAGTTCTCTTGTTGTTATAATAATACATAGGTAGGAAAAAGATGCTTCTCTTCTAACAGTGCATTTACAAGAGTATGAATGTTTTAAGCAAAAAGTTCAACTGGATGTTGACTAAATGATGGGTGTGTATGGTAGGGGCATTTTTATTTTTAAACCCTTTTATTGTAGTATAAAACACTACCATAGCTGTGACTTGTGCCAGCATAGCTTACCCTCATACACAATCAGTATAACTTCCAGCAGTGCTGATCATGATTGTGATAAAGGTTTGCACTAACTTATGTCTATGGCAAAAAATTGAGGCAGATAAGCCCTGTAACTTTAACAGCATACAGCACAAACATTATTGCAAACTTAAATTTTGTGGCATTGCTAACAAACTTGTAAAACATTTACTACGCACTTTAACAATTTTACAAAACATCCATGCTTGCCAGTTAGTTGCATACATCCCATTTAACTATGCTATGTAATACAAACACAGGGATAAACTAAATCTTAGCTGGCCATGTGGTATCCTTCTTGCTTCTAACGGCAGAGGTTGATCTCACTAATGCAGGACCTTTTTATAGGCCAATTTAAAGATTAAGCAAAGGTGTACAATTTTCAACATTGAAGCCGCCAAGTAACTCAGCTTTCACAATATTACATTACTTTGTGTCAGTAGCCATCTGTGGATGAAACAGGAATAATGCTTCCCCTGCAGCTCTGGTGCACAGAATTTTGGGTAGAAATCTTTTTAAAGTTGACTTCCTCTGCTGTAAACTTTATGCTTTTTCTGTTCAACTAGGGCTGTTCATTTTTACTGGTCAGAGGGAGCTGGTAAATCCTACTCCCCCTTACCTTACAGTTGTTCCTGCTTCCTACCCTTTTACCTCCTAGACCCATCTGGGAAGGGAAGGGAGCAGCAGGGCCAGGGTGAATTTGATTTAAATCAAATTTGTGTTAAACCATGATTTTAATTATGATTTGACTCGCTGGTCAGAAAACCCCAAAGATTAAATCTAGGCTCCTTTTTCTACAAAGTGTATTCTTGTTGTTTGATATAACCTTTTATTCAAATTAAATGGGGTCTCTTTTAGGCCTGGCAAGCCTGCTGCCATGATGGGTTTTCCCTTCTACCATACTATTCCCTCACTGGATCTAAAATCAATATGGAGACTATACTCAGAAACTTATCCCTCAAGACTTCTGGAGTAGTCTGCTTAAGATATTTCTCTTCTGTTTCTACTGCCCCTCTCTCCTTGCACTTATCTCCAGATTCCCCTTCCTTGCCCAGATCTACTCTACCCCCAACAATCCTCTTTATTTAATTTCTTGACACTTTCTACCTTTTTAGAGAGGTAGTGGCGTGACTTTGTACACAAACTTGTATCTCTAGAGACCCAAATCCATAGTCTGAGAACTGAAACTATTGCAGAGTTGCTTAATGGGACAGGCAAAATGCAGCCCACGGGCCAGCTCTGGCTGTTCTATCTGACCCACAGGCCCTTAACAACATTTTCTAAATTTTTATTTTTATCTGCCCCTGGCTGCCTGTTCTTAAAGGTAACAGGAGCCAGCAGTAGTAGGACCCAAAGGGAGCCAGCAGCTCCAGGAGCAAGGGCTGCCCGGCCCCCTTCCCCTGCCCCAGCTGGAAGCCCATGCTTAGTGGAGGCTTCTGGCAACTTCAGCAACCCTAGGGCTGTTCCCACCTCACTCTGCTGGAGAGGGAAATTCAGATAAGTGTGTGGAGGCAGGGAAAGACTGTAGGCGACTTTCCCCCAGGCCTTGGGGCCGGGCTGGCTCCTGCAGTCCGAACACTGCAGCAGAGAACCATGTGGTGCTGGAGTGGCAGGCCCAGGGGATGGAGGGGAGCAGCAGCCAGGAAAGCAGTGAAAGTGGCAACAGGTTGTGGGAGAAGGGGCAGTGAGCAGGAGCACAGC